ATGGAAACCAATTTGACAATAAATTATATTTAATATAAAAAAGACTGTAATTTCTGCTGAAAGATTACAATTTAATTGCTTGCACTGTTATATCTACAACATTACATATTTGTCCATTTGTTCATCGATAAGCTGTAGAGCAGTGTTTTTCTAACCTCAAGTCATAGGCCATTAGTATGTGAAATCAATGTACTGGGTTGCAATCAGTATTTTTAAAACAAAATAGAATTTTGAAAATAGCACTGCATATAATAAAATCACTTGGACATCTTTTTTCAGTTTTGCATATCTACGTCTATGCATGTACTGGGCTGCAAGGTAAGGCATATTTCTTACTGTGGGTCATGGTCAAAAAAAAAAAAAAATTGAAAGCCACCACTAGAGAGAAAAAGAACTAATGGAGCAGGCTCCACTGTGAGACAAATAGGCAAGCCAAGCCAGGTTCTAAAATAAATCACCTAATCACTATGAGCTTCAGGTTTTTTCTTCTATAAAATGGAGATAATGATACTTACCCCACAGTGTAACTGAAAGAATAATAATTTAAAACATCTAAATATGTAAAATAACGATAACTAATAGTTATTGAAACTTAACTATGCTACAAGTACCATCTTCTTCAATCCCCAAAACAATCTTATGATGTGAGTTCTATTAAACTTCATTTTACAGGAAACGAAACTGAGATGCTGCAGATTGAAGCATATACGACTATGTCTCAGTGATTTGCACATATATAAGCAGACACTCTTATGAATTACCAGCAATGCTTTACTGAATCTTCACTTTCATACTTCACAAGCAGCAGGAAGTCAGTCAATATTTGTGAGGGGTAAAATACTCCCCAGGAATTCAGAGAACTTTTCACAAAAATTAAACAGTAAAATGCTCTGGGAACTTAGAGGGGGAGAAATTCTGAACTACTTTTGTTAAAGGAAGGTTTGGGGAAAGGGGCCTAGAAGGGCAAGGTCTTCACTGACATGGTGGGGCTGTAGAGGTAAAGGGAACAGTAAAGGCATGACCAAGGCCCAGGGACAGAAGAGATAGGTTATGTAAGTTGATTGTAGACAGAAGTCATTGAGTGCTAGCTTAAAGGGACTGTACTTTATCTTGTAGCTAAAAGGAAACCAGTGAAGACTTTTCAACAGTGACTAATAATAAAGATGCAATCATTGAGACTGCTTAATAACCTCCATATGACTGATATTTAAAACAGCATGTTGATATTTGGACATGAAAACTGAATTCTATTTTCTCAATTTTATGGGTGGAAAACCAACCTGGCTTCAAGGGAAACTACAAGAACTAATGAAATATTAGTTAAACACTAGAGGTTTCTAAGAAATTCTATCATAGATGTAAGTACAAATTATTTTATTGTAGCTAGTTCATAAAGTACTTTAGCTTGAAAAAAAACCAATGTACTTAAAATGTAAGTTTTATTATGGTAATTATATTTTTCAGGTTGTGGTGTTTGAGGCCATAATTATTTTTATAGTTTTTAATTGATTTAAATAATTATGGAAATAATTACAGGGATTAAAAATATTGATTCCAGCTTTTACCTAAAGACAATCAATTTATACCAAAAAAGTATATCCAAATATCTGTTCTTCATCAGATTTAACTCTTAATATTCTAATATTTATTTTATTATATACTGTGATACAGATATATATTTAATGCCCACATGATAAACTACCTACTGAATTTTGTTTCATGCTGGTTTTAAATCTCTGCATCTTGCTATTCTTAAAAATATGTAATTAAAGAGAACCCATATTTAAATGAATACAATAAGACTTAAACCGTACCCTTAAAATATTTTAAACCTTAATAATGTTTGAAGCTATATAAGGCATATAGCATTTAAATGCAATCTTATATATTTTGGGTTAAAAAAATTAAAAAAGGGACCTTCTGAAAATTAAGTCCTTGTGCCCAGGAACAGTTCTTGGGGTTTGGAACATCTTCCCAAAACATCTTTTTCATTCTGCAAAGGATAAATAACAAAACATTCATACTGAAAATGTTCACAGTTAATGGGTGCACAAACTAGAAATTAATCAGCTATGTCTCAGTAGGGCTTGATTCATTTCAGATACTATCCCATGAAGATTTCCACAACGTTCTGTCTAGATCAAATCTAATAACCAGTATAATAATAAAAATAGCCAACACTATTTGACAGCTCTATGCCAGGCACTGTGCTGAACACTTGCCATGGATTTTCTTGGAGAAAATAATATATTAAAAGTGGCCATCGGTTGAATTTCAGAAACAATTCCACTTGATATGGCCTCATCAGCTCACTTGACTGAAAGATATATTCAGATTCTAAAAATCTCCTGTCCCTCTTTTCTGCTATAAGACAAAAGTTTCTGTAGAGATTTGGCATGTGTGAAATAATATCATTGGTCTGGACCTCTCAGCACACAGTGATGGGGCACCCACAGAACCACAAGAAATTCAAGGTTATTTGCCAAACAAGGCTATTTGCCAAACTGGGGAGCCGTGCAGTGCTGATTTTTAAAAATGAACTGTCCGGGGCGCCTGGGTGGCGCAGTCGGTTAAGCGTCCGACTTCAGCCAGGTCACGATCTCGCGGTCCGGGAGTTCGAGCCCCGCGTCGGGCTCTGGGCTGATGGCTCAGAGCCTGGAGCCTGTTTCCGATTCTGTGTCTCCCTCTCTCTCTGCCCCTCCCCCGTTCATGCTCTGTCTCTCTCTATCCCAAAAATAAATAAACGTTGAAAAAAAATTTAAAAAAAATAAAAAATAAAAAA